CCCAGTTTCACAGTCTTTTTTCAGCACTGATTGGGCCTCCTCTTGAGTACCGTGTTCGGTTTTGGGCACTGCATTTTAAGAAAGATGCTGACATACTGGAGCAAGGTCAGATGAAAGCAACAAGGATAGTCAGGGAACTGGAAACCAAGCCCTAGGAAGAAAAAAACGGACATGTTTAGCCTTTGGGAAAAGAAGACTGAGGGGGGCAGATATGATAGCACTCTTCAGATACTTGAGGTTTCCTCTAGAGGAAGAGCAGGATCTGTTCTCAACAGCCATCCCACAGTGCAGGATACATAATAATGGGCTCAGTTTACAAGAAGCCAGGTTTCAGTTGAATATCAGGAACAACTTAACTGTATTCTCGAAGGTTTCCACGGCTGGGATCCAGTGGTTGCTGTAGGTTTTTCAGACTGTTTGGCTGTGTTCTGGAACACAGCCAAACAGCCCCAAAATCGTATAACAACCAACTTCTTAACAGTTTGAGCAGTACAGCAATGGAATCAATTACTCCATTGAGCCTGAAGGTAGGACAAGAACCAATGAGTGGAAACTCGTCAGAGGGAGATCCAACATGGAAATCGGGAGGAATTCCCTGATGGTGAGACCCATGAAGCAGTGGAACAGGTCGCCTCCTGATGCGGTGGGTGTCCCATTGCTGGATGTTTTCAAGAAAAGGTTGGAGGGCCATCAGTCCAGGATGGTATGAGGTCACCTGCCTTGGGCAGGGGGTTGAACTAGAAGACCTCCAAGATCCCTTCCAACCCTACGACAATTCTATGATTCTATGATATGATTCTATGATCTCTAGAGGTGGTGAGTGCTCCAACACTGGACGCATTCAAGAGAAATTTAGGCAACCATCCATCAAATCTGCTTTGACTTGGATTTCTGCACTGATCAGGGGGTTGGACTTGATAGCCTTATCGGCCCCTTCTGTGATTCTGTAATTTGGATTGGAGAAAGATGAAGGGGAAATATCAGCCATGTTTCCGGGTTTACCATCCATGCCACATGACATGCACCATTGCATCTCAGTTCTCTCTCTTCTATTCATCAATCACCTTTAACCTTCTAGATCTGGGAATTAATTGCTCGGCAAATTTCATACATCTGTGCCAGCTCATTCAACCCTTTCGATGGCTTTCGTTCCTCCCATTAAATCCACAGGGGAGGTGGAGAATTTCTTCCCCCAGGTTCCTGCTGTGAATCATTTATGTAGCCACTTTAATAAGTAAAATCCTGAGCACTTGGGCTACACATGAGGTTCCCTGAACTGTTCTATAGGTCACTTTAGGATCCTCTGAATGTGTTCCGATTGACATCCAATCCAGTCTGATTTCTCTCCAAGATCTGAATCACAGAATAATGGAAATCAAAACAGATCTAATAGATGGTTGTCCAATTTTCTCCTGCATGCCCCCAGTGCTCCCTCCCAAGTTAATCGTTTTACTGCTCTAACAGTTACAAAGTTTTTCCTGATATTCAGCCAAAATCTGGCTTCCTGTAACTTGAGCCCATTGTTGCATGTCCTACACTTTGGGATGGTCGGGAACAGATCCTGCCCCTCCTCTGTACAACTCCACCTTTCAAGTATTTGAAAAGTGGTATCCTATCTCCCCTCAGTCTTCTTGGCTGAAAGTGAAACATGCCCAGTTTCTTCAGTCTCTCCTCAGACCTCTGAAACCCAATTGTCACCAAACTTAGAGAGATTGTAAAGGAGAGTTATCTCTAAGTGTCATGGGTGGGTGTGTTTATAGTCCAATGAAGCGACAAATCAAAAATCGCTAAAAATTCATCGATTCATATTCATCGGGGTATTGATTTGAACAAATACGAATTGACAAATTAGCCATTTTTGATGAATTTTGCAATTCATTGTTCAAGTCATGCCCATCTCTAACTATTACTAGAACTGCATCCAAATCTGTTTTATGCTGTTCTCACCAATTTGTCTGTTTGGCTTTCTCGAGATGCATAAGCCGATTTGTTCGTATCTTTTCAATGTAAATGGACAGTAGTTTTCTTGATAGTGTATGTTTGCTTCTGTTTTCCACAGACAGCAGAATGTGATCATTCAAGGGCGTTTCTATTTCTTATGGAGCACACATTCATACTACTAAATCGTACTGTTTTGTGGAATAAATCAAACATCTAGAAACAGAGGACAGATTTTGCAGACTCAGTACAACATCCAAAAATCCCTAAATGTGTTCCAGTACCTTGGAATGTTATTTCAAGGTGTATGACCAGTATCCTAACGTATATTTCTATCAGCTTAATGTCATGGACAGCCAGTTTGGTGTATTAGATGGTGGGATGGGAGAGGACACAGGAGATATCGGTTCAAATCCCTGCTCAGTCACAAAAGCTCCTTGGGGAGTTTGACTCATGAAACCTCCCATTAAATTTCTCCTCGAAAACACTATTAGGCTTGCTATAAGTCAGATGGGACTTGATAGCACATAATGCGCACAATGCCAACAACGTAATTTGAGAGTCTCCACAAGTTAAGATTTTACATTTAGGGATTTTTGGATGTTGTACTGGGTCTGCAAAATCTATCTGTTCTCTATTTCTAGATGTTTGATTTATTCCACAAAGCAGTGCAATTAAATAGAATGAATGTGTGCTCCATAGGAAAGTGTGAGGGCAAGAGGACAAGGGGACGACAAAGGACAGGATGGTTGGACTGTGTCATAGAAGCGACCAACATGAATTTGACCGAATTCTGGGAGGGAGTGGAAGACAGGAGGGCCTGGCGTGCTCTGGTCCATGGGGTCACAAAGAGTCGGACATGACTGAACGACTAAACAACAACAAGTTATGAAGTCAGTGTAGGCACATGATTGGTGTGCATATTCAGATAGCTCAGTGTTTTAGGCATCTGGCTGTGGAGTCCAAGGTTGGGAGTTTGTTTCCTCACTGCGCCTCCTTGGCAAGGGCCGGGCTCAATGATCCATAAGGTCCCTTCAAGCTCTGTGGTTCTAAGATGATGATGCATAGGAAATGCCTGAGCTTAACTTGTCACAATTTGCTGACAATAATTAAGGATTTCTGCCCTTCTTGTGCTACTTATACAGTATTTGAATCAGCAAAATGATCATTATTCTCAGTCTTTCTCTATTGGCAGAAGTATTTCGTTGCCTTATGCATTGTTAACACAGTGCAGTGTTGCTAGAAACACGTCAGAAATTTACAAAGAGTTACTCCTTGGTTGCTGTGGTATTCCTGGTTAAAATGTACAGATGTGCAGTAGAACCTAGTAAGTGGAGGCAGAAGATGGGGTGGGGGGGATCATACAATGATGGGACTGGAAAATAGCTTTACAGATATTGCAGTCCACCAGAAAGACCAGTATGTTGGTTCTAGATGAATTCAAGATCCCTTTAGAACTCAAGTGACTAAATGGAGGGAATTCCTATCTTGCCATATCATGAGAAGGCAGGATTATCTTGAAAAGACAGTAAGAAAGTGAAAGTCAATGGAAAAAGAAGACCTGACATGATATAGGTTGACTCAATAAAGGAAGTCAGAGATCCCTCAGCTGACAAGACTGGAACAACGCTCCTAATGTTGGGACCTTTTGGGGAATGAATAATTCTCTCATCCTGCATGAGCAGAAAACTAGAAAGGTCATATCAACAGTTCCTTAGTTCCCTCATGTGGCCAGTTCTGAGATAGCACCACAAAAATATTTGATAGTAATAATAGTTGTCTCCTTTCAAATTGATTCCAATTTATGACAATCCTTCCCAGGATTTTCTGAGAGCACTCAGAAGTGGTTTACCGTTCACTTCTTCTGGGGGCGGGGGAGTGTCCCGCCATTCACTTCTTCTGGGGGCGGGGGGGGGGGGTCCCTGGGACTGTGAAGCTTACCCATAACTACACAGCTAGGCGTTTCTCCCACGACGGACTGTGCAGCTTACCCATAACTACACAGCCAGGCGTTTCTCCCACGATACACATCCAACCTCTGGCTCTACAGTTACAGATTCCTAAACCACTGTAGTATTTGGATAACTTCAAAAAAATGCTTAGAAAACTATAGAAGAGAGAAGAAACCCTTGCCATTTTGGAATGATTTTAAAAACTGGCAAAAAACATGAAAAATTCATATTAACATTTATCTAAACACAGCTTAAAATGTTTCTAAAAAGTTACTTTTGCAAATACCTAGAGCATTTTGTTTTTTAAACTAAAAGTTGCTTTGTAACTACTTATTACATTTACTAAATCCTATTAGGGCGAACCATGCATGTGAGGCCAGTCAAGCAAATGTTCTTGGACATGCCTGGTTGTGTAAGGCAGTGGTCCCCAACCTTGGGCCTCCAGATGTTCTTGGACTTCAGCTCCCAGAAATCCTGGCTAGCAGAGGGGTTGGTGAAGGCTTCTGGGAGTTGTAGTCCAAGAACATCTGGAGGCCCAAGGTTGGGGACCACTGCCTTACACAACCAGGCATGTCCTCATTTCTTGAATCAGGTGATGAAGGAGAGCATAACAGACAACCTGCTAATGAGATAGATTTGCTTGCATGCTGGAAATATAATGGACATAAGATTCTGGCTTTCACAATGTGAAGTATGGCTTAGGGTGAAGTTACACATTGGGGGGAAACTGTTTTTGAATCAGGTTTAGGATGTTTTAAATTAACTTTGGAACTTCTGACTACACAATGCACTTGGAAGCACAAATTCATTTTGATGGGAAGTGTTTTTGTTGTTGCTGTTGTTGGAAAGTGAGGTATTTTATGCAGCCATGAGAGGACCAAGATGCAGGGAAAGCTTTCAGTCCAATCTGTTATATTTATTTTTTGTCTATCTGAAATATTGATCTAGCGCTATTCTGCTTTGGTAGAATTAAAAAACAAATATGCTATACAACCATAAACAGATTCAAGTCAAAGCAGTAACAAAAAGACAACTCAAGATGCAGCCTGTAACCCTCTAGATGTGCAAGTTGGAATAACAGACACTTGAACAGGAAGCTTTTTATTCTGAACCCTTGCATGCTCATTCACATTTGCCAGTTTGTTGTGCTTTCTGGGGAGTTGTAGTTTGTGGACCCATGGGTTCTGTTGGTTTGGGACTGTTTGCATCCCTCGGTGTTGTTGCTTCCTCACATTCAGGACGCCAGCTTTCCCTAGGTAGATTCAGAGAGAGAGAGAGAGAGAGAGAGAGAGAGAGAGAGAGAGATTACTGCCATAATATTATCAGTCTTCATTCTCCCTATGCCAATATTTCCCCTCTTTTTCCTTTTTTTCTTTCCATTTTTTGCTTTGCTATCTTAGGAGCACCATAGCTTTCTCTTTTTGTTTTTAATTCATTTTCAATTGGGTAAGGAAGGATCATAGGGAGGGGAATTTGAAACAGAGTACTGGGGTAAATATAAAAATACAGAATTTGATAGAAAACAATATATATCATTATTACTTTTGCTGATATGTTTTCTGACTAAGAAAAGGGACGTGATGGCGCTGTGGGTTAAACCGCAGAAGCCTCTGGGCTGCAAGATCAGAAGACCAGCAGTCCTAAGATCGAATCGACATGACAGAGGGAGCTCCCGTCGCTTGTCCCAGCTCTTGCCAAGCTAGCAGTTCAAAAGCATGTAAATGTGAGTCGATAAATGGGTACCACCACAGTGGGAAGGTCACAGTGTTCCGTGTATAGTCGCGCTGGCCATGTGACCACGGAAACTGTCTACAGATAAAAAACATTGGTTCTATGGCTTGGAAACGGGGATGAGCACCGCCCCCTAGAGTCAGACACGACTGGACTAAATGTCAAGGGGAACCTTTACTTTTAGCTTTCTTATGAAGCTTACTTCCCACTTATCTTGCCATTTTTCCCTAAGCCTTTAAACTCTACAATTATATATTCTATCTTCTATCTTATAATTTTAACCCATTCGTCTCTCATCCAGTTATACAAAGGTTCCCACTTTTTTCTAGCCTCAACAATTTCTTTGTCTTTACCTCTATTAAAATAACTATCTCTGCTGCTTTTTCAAAGTGTTGACGCTTACGTACAAAGCCCTAAACGGTTTAGGGCCTCGATACTTGGCGGAACGCCTTCTCCCACCAAGGTCTACCCATATCACCCGTGCGAGCCAGGAGGGAGGCTGAGGAGCCTAACGCCAACTTGCTGTCAAAAGATAACAATATGGCTAAGCCTTTAAACTCTACAATTATATATTCTATCTTCTATCTTATAATTTTAACCCATTCGTCTCTCATCCAGTTATACAAAGGTTCCCACTTTTTTCTAGCCTCAACAATTTCTTTGTCTTTACCTCTATTAAAATAACTATCTCTGCTGCTTTCAAACAAAAATTCTATTAACTCCTGGATTATTGGAATCTAGGCACACCATGGCTTTCTCAATTGCCCACTTAAAATCCCCCGGCCAAAATCCTGTTGAATCAACACAACTGGAGCAAAACCCAGTGGCAACTTGCTGTCAGAAGATAACAATATGAAAGGGAAAGAACAAAAAAGAAATAGCAAACGCCTTTCTTCCTTCTCAATTTTGTCTTTATTCTATTGTAGCACTCAAGACATGTAACACCATAATCATCATCATCATGGTTTGCTCTCAAGTCATTTCTGACACATGGAAACCCTTTTCTGGGTTTTCTTGGTGGAGTATCCAGCCAGTGGTATACCACCAAAGTAACCCTGAAAACACCGGATCTCAGCCTATCTCAAAACTTAAGCAAGGATAGATCTGGTCCTTTTGGAGGAGAGACCATACAGGAACCTCTTCGTAGGAATAGCCTCGACTCAGAGCATCCCACACTGCCATTCAGAGGTGTCAGCACTGGGTCAGATGAATTGAAGACCTGACACCATGTCATAAGCTAGGGACCATTGCAAAATTCATTTCAGTTTACCTTTCATAAGAGAATGGCATAACACACTCATTCCTCTATGTATAAGAGTTGGAAAAAACTATTATTATCATCATCATCATCATCATCATCATCATCATCATCATCATCATCATCATCACTTTAAAGAAGGAATTGATTTTCTCCACCAGGAAGACAATTTTGGAATACAAAATATAAGAAGCCAGGGAGCGGGGTGATTACATGGACATTTGTCCCACTCTTTGGTCTCCTTTTGCTTGAGAATGGACTACTTAATGGTCCAGTGTGAACCAGTCTGTCCCCAGAGCTTTCCTATCCATAGCCTTCTTTCTCCCTCTCAGGAACTACCTGTTTTAAAAGCAAGTAGGATGATTCCATTTTGGTTCACTTCCAGCCCATGCTGGGATCAGCTAAAAAGTGTCCACCAAATCCCCACCGATTCAATAGGCCTACTCTAGTGATGACTTCCGACTGGATTTCAGTCATTGTCTGTGTGCAGATCGTTCTAGGGAATGCTGGCTTACCTAAAACAGCAGAGCACATTTGAGTCACATGTTCCATACTGTCTGAAACACCAAGGACACCGGGCCTCATGATAGCAGAAACCTCCATTCAGCGTACAGCTGCCGGTATCATGAGGCGTATCCGGTGCTAGCCCTGCACAATGTAAAAGACTCCAATTAGACATCCAGAATCTTCATTTGAAAAAATACTTCTCTCCATGTGCATGTATATATACCATGCAAAATCTGGAAGGGGCTCAGTTGATAAATGGCAGCCGGATGGGTGGCATAAAAATAATCATTCATTCATTCAATCAATCAATCAATCAATCAATCAATCAATCAATCAATCAATCAATCAATCAATCAATCAAACAAACAAACAGACAAACAATCAAACAAACAAACAATCAAACAATCAAACAATCAAACAAATAAATAAATAGATAAATAAACAAATAAACAAACAAACAAATAAATAAATA